GCTCTTCTCACTCGCCGTGACAGGTTCTCTGCTACATAACAACTAAGTGAAAGCTGCGATGCTCAACAAACTATGCAGTGACACAATTTCTAATTTACCCCAATAATCTTTATTCCTGCGTAATGTTCTGTGTGCACAAATAAAACAAACAAAATGTCTCAGTGTTTAAACTTGGACATTTTACTGTTTCATGAAAAATATTAGCTCATTTTGTTATGGGGGCCATAAAAGGCTGGAAAAGTAAGTGGAACTAAAAAGAAACAGCTTGTGGAACATGCTAGTGACATTATTGGGGTATAAAACGAGCATCTTAGAGAAGCAGAGGTTGGCCAATCTGTAAAAAAGTACATCTACAAATTGTGGAACAATTTCAGAATATTGTTCCTCAAAGGAAAATTGCAAGTACTTTGGATAGCTCATCATCTACAAAACATAATATCATCGAACGATTCCAAGAATCTGTAGAAATTTGCGCAGGGAACAAGAAAATCAGTATTGTGAGCCTCCAGGCAGCACTCCATTACAATCAGGCAAGAGTCTGTCATAGATACCACTGCACTGGCTTAACAACACTTCCAGAAATCATTGTCTGTGAATACATTTTATTGTGACATCTACAAGTGCAAAGATCCAGAAGCCCCTCCGTTTTCTCACAGCTCATTTAAAATAGACTGAAACAAAGTGGAAGTCTCTCAAAAAGTGCTGCGACGGGTCTTCTCAGTTCCCGGGTGTTTGTTTGTTGTAACCTTGTTACAAGACCAGGGAATGCTACACAGTAACAAACACGGTCTTGTCTCAGCTCTGTTGGAATTGAAGTTGTATGTATTGGTCTGTTGTGACATAAACAGAGATCTGATTATGGTTTTAACTTGCTTTACGTCAGGCATCAAACAGGAAGAAACGTTAAAGTTATTCCTTAATTGTATGTACAGTTAGATTATACCTTAGTTATATGTTACTGTGCACAGTGTTCCAGTACAGGTCCGTCAAATGGCTTTGAACCAGTGTCACCAGTGCAGTGCTTTTAATTTGCTTTACTTAAAGGATGATGTTATTATAGGGTGTGGTTCGCTTTAAATCTAATTTCTTTTGCACCACAGGAGAACAGCTGGAGATCAATCAGCCTAAAGTGTATGACTGCAGCATCCCAGAGTCCTTGGCATCCCAGGTGCCTTCGCTCGCTGCTCTTTGTGGGAAAAGAAATCGGAAATATGAATTCTTTCCACATGCCAAACCTGTGTCCAATCGCAGCGTGACACTCACCTCAAAGGGCGGGACAAACTTCATCAGCTTTGCCAAAGGAGCCTCTTTTGACAACGGTACAACTTAATCGAAATGATGTCTTTTCTAAGCCTAACCCTTTTCTGTCTTTGTGACCCTGAATATTTTTAAAACCCACCCTGATCCATCTTGTGTCCCCTTCATCAGATCTGTATCATGCGTGGGTGGCCCCAACCCTCCAGTCAGACCTCTTGGTCCAGTTCTGGATTCGCTCCACGGGCATCCTTCCTTCCGACTGCTCGGATGACTGGAAGGTCCTGAACATCAAGCTCCTCAACCCTGGGCAGACGTTCTCCTTCAAGACCAGCCAGGACCACTCCAAATGGGCGGTGAGCCCCAGCGAGACTGGGGCCGGTGGAGGCTGGGTGTGTGTCGGGGACATAAACCGAGATGAGGCTGAGGAGAAGCGGGGTGGAGGCACGGTGTGCCATCGTGATCCGGTGGTGTGGAAGGCTTACCGAACAGCGGCCTTGGACTGTGAGGACTGTCAAGGAGAAACAGTCCAGTGCTGAGAGTCATGATGAGTCATGAGGGTGAAAAAATATAACGCGAACAGGGTTTTATGTGGATTTATTTGTTACAGATTTCTGTTCACATCTAGTGAAATCTATGTGAAATATTTAGCCTTTAGCATTTAGACAATTTCAGTTTTTTAGTTTAAACACATTCCTGCCAGAAGTTTTACACTAATCTAGTGATCAGTAGATGACAGTAAGATGCCAATAAACAGCAATGCAATATTTCAATCAGTCCATAGAGTCTCATCTTCAAATAATTATTATTTAACAGTAAATAGTAGGGATGGGTATTGATAAGATTTTCATGATTCCGATTCCATTTTCGATTCTGTTTAACGATTTGATTCTCTTATCGATTCTTTTTAAAAAAGGAGAACACTAAGGTCGATTAGCTTAGAACTTTGTTTTATATCTTCTCTTTGAACAAGATAGAAATTTAGGAGTAACATGGCCTTACAAACCCAACAGTGAGATCTTAAGAGATC